TCTCTTTGTAATCTTGCCTTAAGACGAGTAGGACGGTAATTGGATGCATCAAGCCTTTCAGTCTTCATAACTTGTTCCACAAAGATCTCATGTAATACCCTCATTCTCATTATTTGTTTTTTCTTAAGCAGCTTTTCGTCAATTGCTTTCGAACAGAAGGCAGTGTAGCTTGATTGATATAGTTCATCATTTGGCTTACTAACTGTTAATTTTCGGGTTAAGAATCTGCAGTAATCCAAATGGCAATGCCTGTGGTAACGTACTTCTATGGCAACACAGTCTTTACCTCTAATTTGTGCTAAAATTGACTCATCCTTTTTCTTTTCTGCAGCCTCCCTTAAAAGGCCTCCGTCAAAGGTTTCCGCCAGTTTATCTATTTTTCTTTTTCTACTAGCCTACAAAATAATTGTAACTAATTAATTAGTGGTTTGAAAGGATAGCATAATAATAATAGTAAGGTTATTTTTACAGTACCTTGTCAGGCCTACTTTGGGGGCCAAGGTCGCCTAATGTCGCCTAATTTCGCCTAATGTCGCCTAATTTCGCCTAATGTCGCCTAATTTCGCCCACTTTCGCCCATGTGCACCCAATTTTTGAACTTTGCCTAACAGTCTATTCGCTTCATGTCGCCTAATTTCGCCTAATGTTGCATAATCTCGCACAAGCATGCCCAATTTTGCACCTTGAGTTTGTCGTCCATACTAGTCTATTCCTTACTTATTTGTTAGTTTCCTGCATGTTTTTTTCATAAATACATGTACACAGACACCAAGGGCATGTGTTGTTAGGGCACCATCTCTCACCAGTATTAATGAGGCTTGGTTATTTGGCGTTTATCTGTATATGAATTACAACACATTATTCCAATAAGAATTACCTAAATTATGTTGTTAAGGCAGCCTTCTAGCTATCTTCTCCAATGTGTTTCTTTGTGAAACTCAGTCAAATTAGTCAATCACACGCCATTAAATGTTGTATATGAAATCAAACTTAGATCTTATTATCAAAGATACATTCATGATAACTGGCGAGTGCAAAAGTACAGAATACCTCTCACTAGCCTAGTGAAGGACACTAGGTATCCTAAAGGCCGAAACGGTACCAACGGTAGTTGGTACCGGTTATACATATATATATATATATATATATATATATATATATATATATATATATATATATATATATATATATATATATATATATATATATATATATATATTATATAGACTATAAATAAAGAAAGTCATCTATAGTATGTTCAAAATGGGCTATTCCATTTAATATCCGTACGCCCCTGTCGAGGATACATGTTTTCATTGTCATACCCCTGAAGAATTCCAAACTCAAACTGTTTACCCCTGAAGAATTCACCCCTGAAGAATTCCAAGCTCAAAACCTTTTACCCCTGAAGAATTTCAAAATTCCAAGCTCAAAACCCTTTACCCCTGAAGAATTCCAAGCTCAAAACCATTTGCCCCAGAAGAATTCCAAACTCAAAACACTTTACCTCTGAAGAATTCCAAGCTCAAAACCCTTTACCCCTGAAGAATTCCAGGGATCCTCGACAGGGGGGGTACGGATATTAAATGGAATAGCCCAATACGACTTTGTAGTTTGTAAAATAAAAGTACTTACTTTTCGACGAAGCTACGATGATCGACATCTCATAATTAGGTATCATCGCAAAAGATACAGAGCAATGAACGCACCACAGAAAGATCTACGGTACAGGTTGTTTATATAAAATGTCGCCAAGGCCCGCCATAACAATTATTATGCTTCCTTACACGAAGTAGTACAAGTTAGAAGCTAAACCATTAAATTAGACGTGCCGTGGTATTGCGGGCTCAAATCCCAGCCGAAAAAGAACAGGTCTCTGAGGTTTTGGATAAAAGGAATTTAATTATTTATTAGTTCAGTTAAAGTAAAGGAACTGTCATCTAATTTTAGTAAAGTAAGTCAGTATAGTTATACAAATGTATATGGATTAAACTTTTTTCTATCTGTTTGCTTTGAAAGTAAGTTCTATTTTTTATTGAAACTATAAGATTTATAGTTATCACTATTTGAGATATTTGTTTGCCAGTTTGGTGGGTTAGATTTCAAGCATGGTTATGGTGGTACATGATTTACATTGTACACGTTTATGATAGCTAGCTAGCTGACAATTTATTTACCTTAAATGCCAATTCTTTCACTTCCATCACTGCATACCACAGTCCATAAACAGGTTTTAAAACTCTATGAGGTGTTTACACCA